GACTAGATGAATCACAAGTTGGAATTAAGATTGCTGGGAGAAATATCAACCACCTCAGATATGCAAATGATACCACTTTAATGGCAGAAAGTGAAGAGGAACTAAAGAACCTTTTGATGCAGGTGAAGGAGGAGAGCGCAAAAGTTGGCTTGAAACTCAACGTTAAGAAAACTAAGATTATGGCATCCGGTCCTCTCACTTCCTGCCAAATAGATGGGGAAGAAATGGAGGTAGTGACAGATTTTATTTTCCTGGGCTCCAAGATCACCACAGACGGGGACTGCAGCCAAGAAATTAAAAGACGCTTGCTCCTGGGGAGGAAAGCTATGGCAAATCTAGACAGCATACTAAAAAGCAGAGACATCACCCTGCCAACGAAAGTGTGTATAGTCAAGGCTATGGTTTTCCCAGTTGCAATGTATGGCTGTGAAAGCTGGACCATAAGAAAGGCTGAGCGCCAAAGGATTGAAGCCTTTGAATTGTGGTGCTGGAGGAGACTCCTGCGAGTCCCTTGGACTGCAAGGTGATCAAACCGGTCAGTCCTAGAGAAGATCAACCCTGATTGCTCTTTAGAAGGCCAGATCCTGAAGATGAAACTCAATACTTTGGCTACCTAATGAAAAGAAAGGACTCCCTGGAGAAGAGCCTAATGCTGGGAACAAAAGATGGCAAAAGAAGAAGGGGATGGCAGAGGATGAGGTGGCTGGATGGAGTCGCTGAAGCAGTTGGTGTGAGCTTGAGTGGACTCCGGGGGATGGTGGAGGACAGGGAGGTCTGGAGGAATGTTGTCCATGGGATCGTGATGGGTTGGACACGACTTTGTGACTAACAACAACAACAAAACATTAGGATTGTAATGTTTGGCATTAAAAATAGAGAGGAAAAGTAAAAGACCAGAGTAAAAAGTAAAATTTCCTGCATAGTTACCTAGAGGAGATTCCTACTTGCCACAGGCAAGTACCAGTCAGTTGGTATCCATCTTTTGCCTAAGACCAAGCCAGTTCACAGGAAGTCACCTAACACCTATGAAAGCATAGGCAACCATATTTTAAGGCCAGGTAAGGGAGGGCATTGCTGTTACATAAAACATTAAATTATCTCACTGTATAAACGACCTTTGGGCCATCTAGCTAGCCCAGTATGCTCCAAATGGAAGAACTGAACAATGGTGTACAGCAGTCTTCCCAAACCTGGTAACTTCCAGATGTTCCAGATCGACTTTTGGGAAAATAGCCCATGTTCAGAAAATAAAGCCCACAAATCCAAAAATTATTTATTTATTTGTTTTACTTATTTATTTATATCCTGCCTTTTTCCTCAAAGGGCTCAAGGCAGCTTACATCATTCTCCTCCTCCATCTTATCCCCACAACATCCCTGTGAGGTAGGTTGGGCTGAGAGTCTGTGACTGGCCCAAAGTCACCCAGTTGGCTCCATGGCCGAGTGGGGACTAGAACCCAGGTCGTCTGAGTCCCAGTCCCATGCTCTTAGCCACTACACCACACTGGAGGACATTAGGTTGAGGAAGGCTGATTTATAGGATTGGCATAAGATTTCTGAAATAAAACTCAGCTTTTAAATCTTTTCAATAAAACCTGTTAGCAGAGGTTTTTCTAAAATCAGCACTGGAGCTAGCACCTTAGGAAAAGCCATGCCCTTTGAGTTCATTTATTTGTGCACTGAATTAAAAAGCTAAAATGTGTCTCTGTGCAGCTGTATAATAAAACAAACTTTTTCTTCACAAATTCAACCTTCATGAAAAAATACTTTTCCTAAATATTTAAACTTATCCAGTTACAGAGAAAATGAAATAGTCAACACATACTGATCACTTCTACAGTTGTTTGGCAGATCAAAGAATTACTGACCTTTTCATGATACCTACTGCTGACTGTGGGAAAACACACTGTCCAATCCAGTTGAAAAACCCTGTGTGTGCTTTGATCAACGTGCACAACACATGCTTCACCGGGAGACCCCTTCAGCAGCAGTGTCAGCTCTGCATACAAGGATAAAGAAGCATGTGCTGGCAGAACAGCTGCACTGTCACCCCACTGAAGTGAATGGCAAAAGGTATCATGAATGCATCAGATTCCCCCAAAGCCTGTAAGACATTCAGGCAAATGGGCACTATGAAAAGATAGCCAAGCATGGCTCAGCTCTGGCATTTCAGTCTTAGAAGGATCTCAGGTCTCGGCTAGGGAAGTCCTCAGCCAGCGTCAACAGAGAGCCACTGACAGATTAGAAATAATGGGACTTGGAACCAGAAAGCCCCTTTATTTTGCCTTTTTATAGGAAAATCTACAGTTTGAAACACTGCCATGTATTTCCCATTCATGTCAATGGGACCTAAGCATACTTGTTGCAAGCCTGCACCAAACAATAGGCTGGTTCCAGATTCAGCCACACTGAAAACAGACCTACTAAAATCAGTGGAACTTATTAGTCATGACTAAGTCCCACTAATTGCAATGCATCTAATCTAAGCTCAACTAAGTCTAGATTCAATCTGTAAGCATTACAAGCCAAAAATAAATCATTAACAATTTATATATTTTCTCCATCACACCATTCTTAACACCCACCTAATAGCCAGAAAACTCCTCAAAGTTACTAGAACAAAACCCCTCATCCACATCTCACTTTAACACCATCCTGCATAGCCTAGGACAGTGGTGGCGAGCCTATGGCACGTGTGCCACAGTGGGCACGCAGAGCCCTCTCTGTCAGCATGCAAGCCAAGTTGCCCCAGCAGCCGAGCATCGGATAATGGCACACATAGGGGCCATGCGCATGCTCAGAAAGGAGTAGTGACCCCAGGCAATGATGTCACGAGCCACAACTCATTAGCCGCGACTCGTCCGAGCTTTCACATGGCCAGTCAGTCCACTGCCAAGGATTGGACTGGCTGTGAGCTGTTTTTCCTAAACTAAAACCTCAGTATTCAGGTCTTATTGCAGTGTTGGCACTTTGCGATAAATAAGTGAGCTTTGAGTTGCAGTTTGGGCACTTGGTCTCTAAAAGGTTTGCCATCACTGGCCTAGGAGCTCTCATACATCATTCAATATTTATACTCTTCACTGTGCTAACAGAAAAGATGCCTGAGATACAATCTCCTATCTCAAGTTACCTTACAAATTCCAAAACATATCACAAGAACAGCAGCAAGATGTGTGCACAGATTGTTGTGCCCGTAAGATGAGCAAGACCTATCATACAAGCACCTGCCTTATGCCGACACATGCAGAAGCCAGAGTTGTAAGCCATGTGTGCTAGCTGGGAGCAATAGGAATTCCAGTCTGACACACGTGAAGGACACCAGGTTGGGGAAGGTCTTTGCACCATGCCAAACAGCAAGGGCACTGAGATGTTACTCTGGCCCGATCCCACTGTTGCAAAAAGTGTGGGTTGTTCAGCTTTTTTAAAAAACAAAAATGGTATTCAGGGTAATGTAATTGAACCTAACCTTGATGGTTCTTTTAAGAGCAGCAGAGGATGTAGCCCAGCTGCAGGGAGTGGGGGTGCTGAAGCTCATACTTGCCATACAGCACAGTTCTCTGCTGGCTGGGACACACTAAGGGTTGCAGGACGTTTTCTCTCTAAACACGTGTAGGATTGCACCCACAATATATGAACTCTCACTGTATATAAAACTGAGGTGCAATAAGCACCCAACTCACCTGGGAATTATTGACCAACTCAGATTTAAATATAAGTTGCTTCATCTCTAGAATCTTGAACCTTGACATTGCAAAACCACAACCAGGGAAATAATTTCCCCAGCACATCCAAGTGCTTAATATAGATAGCAGACACCTTTGAAACTGTTCCCTTGCACCTGGGAGTCAGCAGCAGCCTCTGCTGGGAGAGTAGGTTCCAGGGCAACTGTCATGCATACAAAGGACTCTCTCACCCTGACAGAACTACAGTTCCCAGCAGAGGCCTCCACCTGATTATTACCTGATAATCAAGAAAGGAGAGGGGAAGAAGCAGCATTTGGGCCCTGCTGCAGCTCAAATTTCTACAAAAAGGAACTCTATCTTGGTTTGTTCAGGCCAATTCTGAATTAAGCTGGGAAGGGTCACCCATCACTAGCTGTTGCTCCTGTCCCCACCCCAGTTAAAGATTAAAAGCTTAAGGGACCCATACAATGGATTCCAGAGAAACCATACAGTACACAAGGTACAAGGAGGAAAAAGGTGTCTTCTTCCGTCACCCTGTCCATCTCACATACTTTTTTGCTCCTCTAGTAGAAGTATGACCAACACAGCTTGCAGGTGGGCAACTGGTCTGCACCGCCCCCCCCCCCCCGCTCTGCTTCTTACAGCTGTAAGAGCTGGGGCCATCCTAGCACAACAGTATCCACCCAGCTGACCTGCTAGGATGCTTAATATTTTTTCTTTGGAGAAAAATGTGGGTGCCTCTGCAGTCCGCTTCTTCCTCAGCTCTACAGTCAAGGAATTTCTAGCCTAGTCACATGGCAGCAGAACCATGATCTAGGAGGCATCTACCAATAGAACCCTAGGCTGCTTCCACCCCATCACTGTGAATGGGGTTATCTCCAACCTAGGGCATCGAAAACACTTACGATGCAAGAAGCTCCCTCTTCCTTGCTGCTCACCTAATGTGCATGGCTTGAGGACTGCACATTTGCAGCAAGAACCAGGCTGGAAACGGGACTGCAGGGGAAGGATGCAGCCCCACACTAGGCTTGTGCTTAACTTTTCAGCACCCTAATTTTCTTTTAATGGCTTCTCTGCCATATGCAATGACCCTACCTAGGAAGTGAGGTCATGCACAGCCCCCAGTGCAGATGAAAATAACTTGTCCAAGACTGTGGCCTGTTCAGCCCTTGTTTTTCTGTGGAGTTGGCTCCTTGCTGAGAAGCATCCTGAGGACCAAGGGCCCAGTGGCACTAAGGCACCGATACATTAGATGGCAAGTCTCACTGAGCAGTGGCTGGGCTGGTTTGTTCTAGAGTCGTGTGTCCCACACCTGCCCTTACATCTTCTTATCAGTCTCCGAGGCGCTGCTGTTGGTCCTCTCTGGGAGGTCCCCCCGAGGCTGAGGCTGGAGGCGAGCAGCATTCTCAGGCAGGGGTGGGTGGTAGCGGTAGCGGTAGCCATAGCCACGGAGGTGGTAGGTCAGGTACTCCAGGGTATACATCAGCTCTGAGTTCACATAGTGGAAGGAGACAGCCAGGTCAGAGCAGCACTGAGGGCCCTACGGAGCACAGAAAGGTCACATTTAATGGGCAAAGTTACAGCATGGATTTTACTAGATACTTTGCTGGGTAAATGTTTTCAATGTGCAATAGAAAACAAAAGATACATTCTCTTATGCCAAGAAAAAATGTTACATTACTGCCCTACACCTTTTGTAAATGTAAATTTCCTTCTTCAGGGGCTACAAAAATGCAAACCTACAACATTCTGATTATTTGATATAACTCTAAAGTACCATATTACATCTAAAAGTAAATGCAAGCATATGACATTCTGATTATTTGGGTTACTATACAGCATAAGAAAGCATCTAAAAACAAGAAAAAAGTCTACATTTATATGAATTCTACAGCTAGTTTCTCCCTTGACAACATAGTACTGAAATTGCTATGGAGGCATCCCTTAGGGACTCCTGAGATTTCAATACTGCTACTAATTTCATGGGAGTAGAGAATAGGCACAGCCCTGAATAACTGGCCGGGGCAGAGCAGCAAGAATGGAAATCCCTTGTTTTGGAAGGGTACTTCTCAAAGCACCCACCACAGCTGCTTCGAGAAGTACACACTGTTGAAGACCACAGAATAAGAAAGAATTACCATGGAGGATTAACCAATGATCCATATAGCCACAGTAATGTTCACACGGCATTTTATCTGTGGCAGATAACTACAATATCTATCCCTTGTCAGTACTTTAGATCTAGTTGGAAATACAATTGCTGAAATGTGTTTGCCTATTATACTGATCAGCCAGTGTGTGAGAGAGATTTTGCTGCTGAAACCTTCCATGCAGCGAGCCATCATGATATCTGGTTGTAATGAGTGTCACCTGCTTATTATGTGTTATGCAAAACAGAACATCCTATTAGCACAAGCCTGCTTCCCAATCCACTGTGCTAAGAAAGATCCAAATAATTAGATCTGGGGGTTATTTTTCCTCTTTGCAAAGCACAAGAACATTCCCTGCTCAAAATCCCAAATGCAACCAGGGACCCAGCTCTTGGGGAATTTTCCTAATTCCCTAGACTTACATTCATGCACAAAAAGTGAACTTGCACATATGTGCACTTCCAAAAATGAACATATACTTTTCAGAGGTGTGCATACAAAGAAATTCCTTCCCTTAATCTGCATTTTCATGCTTCAGCCTATGGTAGATGTGCAGTTTTGGTGAGGGAAAGCACATTAAACAGAGCGTTTTTTCAATTGGGAAAAACAAAAAACACTTTCCCCAATTTAAAAAGAACAAGAAAAATATGCTAATGTCTGGAAAAGAGCTTCACAGAAGAATTCAGAGAACTTCAATGAACTTAAAAACTGCCCAGTCGCCACCCTTATTTAGAGGCCTCACTTCCTTTCTCATTTGGGTAGCAGGACACTCAGGCGGGAAGGGGTGGAGTTCTGCTCCATGAATCTCTATGGCAGGAGCCCTGTTTCCATGGTGCTGGTTGCCGTTCAAATGATTGTGCGCAGATGGCCATTTCCTGTTTCTGTCAAAGCACCCTGGGAAACTTTGGCCAATCCACTTCAGTGGGTAACTCTCAGATTTTATATAGGGTGAGTGAATAATTCTCCTTTTTGCTTTTCTTCATGGTATGGTTTTATATTTTAAACATGTCCAGGCAAAGATTTATGCTTTAAAGGTTTATGCTTTAAATGGGGTGGGCAACTTGTGGCCCTCCAGAAGATTTGAGCTACAACCACCATCAGCCCAAGTCATTTAGTGTAAAGGATGGTGAGAGATCATGAGAAGTGTAGGCCAAAACATCTGGAGGGCCACAAATATCTGGAAGGAACTCTACAATTGATGGATACAACCTGTTTAAGAAAAAGAGAAAGGACAAAAAAGGAGGTGGAGTCCCACTATATGTAAGAGACACAAATACCTGCACGGAAATACAAGAAGAGGAACTTATTAGCCCCATCAAAAGCATCTGGCTTAATTTAAAGCATAAAATAAGAAAAACATGGTTATTGGCATCTATAAAAAGCTGAAAGTGAGAGTCAGCAGACAAATTGACAGACAAATGGTCAAAGAATACCTAGATGGAATAAACACGTTCAAATCTCCAGGCCTTGATGAGCTCCATCCCAGAGTCATAAAAGAGCTAGTGGAGAAACGCTCAGAACCACTGGCTATTATCTTCAATAAATCTTGGAAAATAGGAGAAGTGCCAGATGACTGGCAAAGGGCTAACATTGTCCCTATCTTCAAAAAGGAAAAAGGAGATGAACCTGGGAACTATAGACCAGTTAGTCTGACATCAATCCTTGGAAAAATTCTGGAGCAAATTATTAAAAAATCTTGAAGAAAATGCAGTGATTAATAGAAGCCAACATGGATTTATCAAACTTTTGCCTCTGTGTTCTCCCCAAAGCAGGATGGGGGAGATCCGCATAGGAGATTAGATGAGGCCAGGGACTTAGGGGCACAGATTAGAGTCACCCCCCTTGAAGTCGAGGGGCTCCTCAGGGCATTGGACATTACAAAGGTGCCAGGCCCTGACAGGTTACGCCCAAGAGTACTTAGAGAGTTGGCAGGGGTTCTCTCATGCCCGCTGGCCTCCATTATTGAGACCTCGTGGAGAATGGGTGAAGTTCCAGAGGACTGGAGGGTGGAATCAGTGGTCCCAATTTTCAAAAAGGGTAGTAGAAGGGACATGGGGAATTACAGACCTGTTAGCCTTACGTCCATTGTAGGAAAAACAACAGAAAGGTTCATAATAGAGATCTAGTGATGCTATGAAGATAGGGAAGGGAGGCTGACAGTCACACAACACGGCTTCCGCAAAAACAGGTCCTGCCAGACGAACCTTGTGGAATTCTACGACAAGGTTTCGAGATGGCTAGATGGAGGGGATGCAGTGGATGTGGTTTACCTGGATTTCAGCAAGGCCTTTGACAAAGTGCCCCATGATATCCTGGTGGAGAAACTGAGGAGTTTTGGGATACACCAAAGCACTGGCCAATGGATTAGGGCATGGTTGACTGACCGAAAGCAGAGGGTAACCATTAGTGGGGAACCATCGGGATGGTGGCCAGTGACAAGCGGGGTCCCCTAGGGCTCTTTCCTGGGGCCGATCCTGTTTAATCTTTTCATAAATGACATGGAAGAAGGGGTGAACAGTCTGCTGATCAAATTCGCAGACGACACTAAAACTGGAGCAGTGGCCACAACTGAGGAGCAGGTACTCCAGATCCAAAAGGGCGGGAGACAACAGGATGGTGTTCAATGTGGATAAGTGCAAGGTCTTGCACTTCGGACATAGGAATAGGTGTCATAAGTACAGGTTAGGGGGCAAGTGGCTGGAGAGCAGCACTTGTGAAAGGGACCTCGGGGTGCTGGTTGACTGCAGGCTAAACATGGGTCAGCAGTGTGATGTTGTGGTCAAGAGGGCGAACGCCACCCTTGGTTGCATACCCAGAAGTGTGGCTTCTAGATCGAGAGAGGTATTACTACTACTCTATATGACTCTGGTGCACCCGCAACTGGAATATTGTGTTCAGTTTTGGGCCCCTCATTACAGAAAGGATATAGCCAGGTTGGAGTCAGTGCAGTGTAGGGCCACAAGGTTGGTGGCTGGTTTGCAGGGGATGGCGTATGAGGCAGGACTGGGTCTCTTCAGCCTGGAGAAGAGAAGACTCAGAGGGGATCTGTTGGCGACATACAGGTATGTGAGGGGATGTCACATGGAGATGGGTAGAGACCTGTTCTCCCCTGCAGAGGAAGGCAGGATGCACTCCAACAGAGCAAAGCTCAGGGAGCCAAGGTTCCATTTGGATGCCAGAAAGGACTTCCTGACAGTCAGGACCCCGAGGGTCTGGAATGGGCTTCCACGGGAGGTCGTTGAGACCCCATTGGTAAGGGTGTTCAAAGATAGGCTGGACAAGCACATGGTGGGCATGTCGTGAGTGGGGCCGGCTGGAGCTGGGGGTCAGACTAGATGGTCTGGGAGACCCCTTCTGACTCACTCGGTTTCTATGTTTCTAAATCCTGTCAGTCTAAATTAATTTTTTGACTGGGTAGCCTCCCAAATGGACAAAGGGAACACTGAGGGCATGATCTACCTAAACTTTAGCAAAGCTTTTGAAATAGAGTCACATGACATTCCGATAAGCAAATTAGCAAAAACTGGACTAGATGAAAAAACTATTAGGTGGATCCAAAATTGGCAACAGTGGAACCAGCTGCCTAGAGAGGTGGTGGGCTCTCCCACACTAGAGGCATTCAGAAAGAAATTGGACAGCCATCTGAGTGGGATGGCGTAAACTGGTGTCCTGCAACAGTAGGGGGTTGGACTCTTCATGGCCCCTTCCAACTCTACTATTGTATGAAGTTGCCTACCCCTCGTTTAAAGTATAAATCTCTTCAGTGCATCCCTCCTCTGAATAGAATGGTATATTCCCAGGCCTTCAGAAATCCCCAGAAGGTAATATCATGCTCAACTTTGTACCACATTGAGAGGTACAAGGACTTACAGCCCTAAGGCAAACAGCCGAGAGCTATCTGTGACGCAATACATCCTAGAAGAGAGAAATTCTTTTGGCTCAGTTCCAAAGCAGCTCACAGCGAGCATTAGCTAAACTCCAATTAATCTAATCACTTTATCTGCTCAGGTTGCTCAATCCCAGAGCCAATTCTGAAGCCGAACACATTTCCATTAACCTGCACCCTCCCATTTCCTAATCCAAGTTTCTGCACCCTCCTCCAACTTTGGTCAGACAAAACTAACCATCAACCTCCCAAGCTGTTTTTCTCCCACGTACTCTATAGGCAAACAAGGTCCTCTTCATTCTGCCTTGTTTCTGCCCCTCTGCATAACCACTGGGAAATGCTTAATGCTATTAACTCTACCAGCTTATCCCCAGGGGCAGTACAAGTTGTTGCCATCATGGAGAAAGTGCTAACTGCTGGCAACACAGAGTGCAGAAATTTAGATGAGGATAGGAATAAAAGCAGAGTGGCCAAATGCCAAAAAGCAACCTTTTACAGTAGAGTAGAAGAGGGAATTTCATCAGGTCATGCCTGCAATGCCTTCTGAGATTCCCTCTTCAGCACAACTATGAAAGACACAGGAGCCCTGCATCCTCTTAAGCATCCTGCCACCCAACAGAGGAAGTGTGCCTCATCCACCAATCACCCACTGCATGCGTGAGGGAAATGCTCTGGCTATGGCTACAGGCAGTCACATAAACTTGGCCTCCTATCTTACTAATCCTCACTGGTGGAAATAGGACATTCTTCTCACTCCAAGTAGCATGGCTTCAGCTGAAGCTGGCACCAAGGAGAGGCATTGTTGGGTACCTGCCAAGGGTCCACACCTCAGTCAGGGCCCACTGACAATAGCTTCTTGGACTCGTTCCTCCTCTTCACCCTTGCAACTTCCTGTTGACTGACATCTAGCCCCGGCTTACTCCCTGCCTGCCAAGCCAGCCACCCATAGCAATGGTGAGAAACTGGTGGCAAGGGTAGTGAGAAGGCAGGCTCATGGAGGGAGGGGGCCTGCTGGAAGAGTCTGGCCCAAGAATCCTCACATCCCTGGGATCAGCACTGGCCTCAGCCCAGCACTACACTCAGTATACTTGGAGATGTTGTGTGCTCCTGCCGTGTGGGTGCAGGATTCCTGACCTCAGCAGTAAAGGAGGGCATTGGTTCTACTGGTTCCATCTATGCCAGAAAAGAAAGTGTGATGAATTGTCCTGTTAAAACCTGACCAACGTTCCAAATGAACAGTGAGAGCTGCAACCTATGAAGGAGCAAACTCCACGCTGATGACATGGTGCTTTGGGCTGCAGCTGCACACACACCTTTGGCTGGGAGGAAGACCCACTGGGGCCTGCCCTCACAGCAAAGGTATGGAGGAGTTCAGGCTGTTAGCCTGCTGAGGCACATCTGCTACTACCCAGAAATTTAACTTTTATAGACTTGAGAGACAGGGTCAAACAGGGCAGACTCAAGAAAGATCTTTTGCTGCCTGAGATGAAGAAGAAGATGGCACCCCCTCCCACAGTCACATTCCAGGTACATAAATCTGACAGATGAAACTTACCTCAACAGTGGTAATGGGAAGGTGTCCACTGCTGCTCCACAGGACAGCTGGCTAGCTTAGCGGGCATGGGGTAAGTTGGGTGCCACGCCCTAATTCCACATCCTGCTGCTCCTCCCCATCCCTTGGCATCTGTAGCCTAAGGCAATCGCTTCACTAATGGCAGAGATGACTCTGGCCTAGTTGAAACGTGTAGAACAACAACCCTAGCAGAGCAACAACTCCAACTAGGCCTGGGAAAGACTCCTGCCTGAAACTCAGGGAAGTCACTGCCCTCACGCCTTCAGAGGAAGCCCCACGATGGGAGGGATTTGGCACCTACCTCCACAATGGGGTAATAACAGTAGCTCCAATACCAGAACCTATTTATGAACTTCTCAGTCAGGTGAGATTCTGGCACAAATGGATGGAAAGTCTCCCTCTTCTCAGGGTCCCGGGAGTCACCAGCCTCAACTCCCATCTTCTCCATGCACTGGCCCAGTGCAAGGTCCTCCACAGAACTGGTGTGGCTGCACACCTTGGAGGCAAAGCCAGCCACAAAACGCTGCAGGGCCTCTTTGCTGAGCACATAGCCAGCACCCCCACTCATGTAGCCTTGCTTGACAAAGGGCCGGAAGCGCTTGCCAAAATAGATGGGCCTGTCAGGGGTGTAGTTGGACAGCAACCACCTCAGGTTGTCCACAATCACATATGTGTCATCATCGGCTTTGAGGAACCAGTCTGCCTGCTCAAAGTGGTGCTTATGCACGTAATGGAAAGCCCGGATAGTCTTCCAGTACAACTGGTCCCGGCCTTCTTTGGTATCCAACCCTATGGTGGGGAAGTTTTCATCTTGCACTGAGCTCATAAAAAGGACCAGGTTGCAGTGACGGGCCCAGGTGGCCTTGACATGGCGAGCCTTTGTCTCCAAGTTTTTGGGGCCAGTCATCACCCAGCACAAGATCCGCACCTTGTTGAACAGCTCATCTGCCACACTGCTATCTTTACCTGAGGAAAAGGTAGCCATTTTGAATAACAGACCTTTCCAGCCAGACAGTATGTAGTTCATATTTATCAAATACTAAACAAGCACTTAATTTACTCCTTAGCATAGCAACTGGCTTTTAGTTGATGGGGTTTAAACAACATGACAAGCCACACTCAAGGCTGAGTGTGGGCTATCACTGAACTGTGGGTTGTTGTACTGCATGAATATGTTAACTAAGAACCCACACCTCACAACCCAGCAAAAAACCATGAGTTCTCTTTGCAGGTTGTTCATGGTTAACAAACCATAGTTTATTATCATGACTTGGTCCCACAACACAATCCACGTTTCAACAGTTCACAGGCCAATGACAACCTATGTTCAGTCTATATTCAGCTCTGAGTGTAGCTTGTCATGTTGTGTGAACCCAGTCAATGACTCTGTCAGCACAAATGGGACTTGTGTGAATCATGACTACTGACTAATATAGACCCGCTTGTGTGAGTCATGACTAATGTGTCCCACTGAATTCAGTGGGATTATTTCAAGCATGACTAAATCTGGATTTGATCCATTAACTTTATTTACATTGGTCTTCAGATTCACAGGTTGTGAAATCACCTCAGACAGATCCCCAGGAATACAGCTTGTCTCAGCTGTCAAAAGAAACTAAAGGAAAGAAAAGACTTCTCTGGAGCTTCTTTGGGTGACTTTCCAGGACTGGTATCTGTTGTACTATGACAAGAGATACCTCCTGGGATATTGAACAACTGAGACCTTTAGTTGCCGTACTTAAAGAATTGTACACTATTGTTGCACAAGCCTGGCAAAATACACATACACTTGAAAGGAAAAAAAGCTTCCTAACCCCATGAGCCCCTCTAATGTGCTACTCAGGTGCTTCGAAGGGAATATTAGTGGCTGTCAAAAAGAGAATTGCAAAAGCCACTTAGCAAGTCACCTTTCAACCTCTAAAACAAAAAGATAATGTGACAAAAGGCCTCAGTGAGCCAAAAATGTCTCATGATTGTGGAAGGGAGTGGGAGACAAGACGGTCCTGCAGGAGGGTTCCTGGGGATACCCATGGGAGGACTACAGGGCCCCCTGAGACAACCCCAGGGGACCAAGGAGGAAAGAGCAGGAGCAGGTGAATGACCTGAAGGTAATTCTGATTGTCTGCTGGGTACACTATGGCTTGTTCAGGGAACAAGCAACCCACCATGGCTTACTCCCAGGCTGGGTTAGCATGATGTGCAAACATACCCACGGTGTACCACCTCACTGGTAGGACAAGCTTTTGCAGCTTCTTTCATCCTGAAGGCTGAATTCCATTTTGGAAAAGTTCTCAGGGGCTGCATTGTAGGGTCAAGTGTGGCTAAAGGCAAAAGGGATAAGGCCCAAACACCAAAAACACCAGCATATTTGAAGCTCTGACTTCCACTAATTAAGCCTAAAGAGTGTCAGAGTCTGGGGTGTGGGTGACACGTACCCAGGGACTCAGGCAACAAGAGCCAAGGCAGTACAGAGTCCAAACACAGTCCACAGTGCAATGGCAAAGACTGAGTTGTAGTCACATAACAGGCCAAGGTCAGGAACCCAGAAGCAGTTAACACGGAGTGGAGCACGGCAAGAATATAGTCGCAACAGGCAAGAGATTAATAAAGCTAAGCAAAGTTAGGCCTGGTTGAAATCTGAATGGATGACTTAAATGTGGGAACTGCCCAGAGAGCTTCAGCTATGGGTGGTACAGAAATGTAATGAATAACAACAACAATAATAACCACTAAGATGATAGAGCCTGGAGCAGAAACCTTAGGACAGGATAACCAGACAGGAAAAGCAGAGCATGGCAACAAGGCAAAGAAGAAGGCCAAGGCCAGAAACAGGAATCAGAAAACCTGTGTTGTTAAGACAGTTTCTAGACAGAAAAGCTTGCTCTTATATAATTCTTCCCTCAGGGCTCCCAGCTGGTGCTCATCAAGGGCCTGAGAACTAAAGCAGGATCTGGGACCAATCCTGCAACAATCCTGTAGTTGTTCTGGTGCTTGACCAGCAGATGGCACACGGGAGCTGCCCAGATCCTGACAGAGCCATTTCAACCTTTTAGAATGGAAGAAAAACTTCTCAACAGCCTAGAAACCAGGAAAAAACTGATGGTCAGGGAAAGGAGTGGGGTCTTCCCTGAGGGCTATATTGGGAGCCCAGTTTAGCTAGATTTGGCTCCTGAGCCTGAGCTTTTACATCCCTTCTGTTGAGAGCAACAACTAATGCATCACATGGGACTGCTGACTCCAGTCAGCAGTCCCCTCAACACATACTCTGCCAGCTGCTTTTGGAGGGCATCTCAGGTAGCTTCCTTCTCCCTCACCCAATGCTACAATCACATGGACAGAACCATAGTATGTACAAGCAGTGGGTAAAACATATGCAACCAAACTGCAAAGCTTAGGATATGCAAAAGACCCTCTTGAGGTTCTTCTCTTGCAGCCTCAGCCTGGCAACCTTGTCAGCCCAATCCTCCACTGGCAAAAGGTTAGGAATGCTGGAAGCTTGGGGCATAGGAATAGGTGTCATAAGAACAGGTTAGGGGACAAGTGGCTGGAGAGCAGCACTTGTGAAAAGGATCTCAGGGTGCTGGTTGACTGCAGGCTAAACATGAGTCAGCAGTGTGATGCGGTGGTCAAGAGGGTGAAAGCCACCCTTGGCTGCATAGCCAGAAGTGTGGCTTCTAGATCAAGAGAGGTATTATTACCACTCTATACGACTCTGGTATGCCCACAACTGGAGTATTTTGCTCAGTTTTGGGCCCTTCATTACAGAAAGGATATAGCCAGGTTAGAGTCCGTGTAGCATAGGGCCACAAGGTTGGTGGCCGGTTTGCAGGGGATGCCGTGTGAGGCAAGACTGAGGGAACTGGGTCTCTTCAGCCTGGAGAAGAGGAGACTCAGAGGGGATCCGTTGGCGACATACAGGTATGTGAGGGGATGTCACATGGAGATGGATAGAGACCTGTTCTCCCCTGCAGAGGAAGGTAGGATGCCCTCCAGCGAAGCAAAGCTCAGGGAGCCAAGGTTCCATTTGGATGCCAGGAAGGACTTCCTGACCGTTAGGACCCCGAGGGTCTGGAATGGGCTTCCACAAGAGGTCATTGAGGCCCCATCAGTGAGGGTGTTCAAAGAAAGTCTGGACATGCACATGGCCGGCATATCGTGAGCGGATCCAGCTGGAGCCGGGGGTCAGACTAGATGTCCCTGGAGGCCCCTTTGCTCTGTTTCTATGTTTCTATGTAATCTGAAACATCTGAAGGGAACCAAGCGGGGGAAGGTTGCCTGAGTGTACCTTGCCTTCCTCCCCCCTCCTTACCTGCCAGGTGTGGGTGTGTCACACTGAGGAGAGCTGATCCATTGACAATCCACTCTGGATCCCTGGCACCACGTGGCAGCTGGAAGCTAGGCCGTGAGGGCCACTCCCATGTCAGGGGGCCCACCAGGTAGAAGGCGCTGATGAAGCCAGCAATGAGGCCCAGTTGGAAAGCCAAGAAGGATCTCTTGGAACCAAAGAACCCCATGCTACCTGGCTGCCTGGGGCTGAGGAATGCAAAAGGGCAGTGGCTGCGCTTCACATGGCCTGTTGGGGAAAGAGAAAAGAGAAAGCGACTTTGAATCAGGTTGTTATTCCTGCACTCCCAGTGGCAGTCATAAAGTGCACTGCTCATGAGTGCTAGCTGCTCCCATCACCATAAACAAACAGGGAAGATGGGAACAAAAGTGCAGTGGTACCTTGGCTCACGAACGCCTTAGTTCATGAGCAAATCGGGCTGCGAATAGAAATTTCATAAAAATTTTGCCGCAGTCACGGACTCTGCATCGGGTGACGATCGTGAGCACCTGCCTTCCCCGCACGGGTGCGATCATGGTCGTGCTGGGGTGGGGGGAGATGCCTGCGATTGTGCACCCACGATTGCCCCTGTCTCCCCCCCAGTGTGCCCTTGATCATGCCAGTCTCCCCCCAGTGCGCTCGATTTACACCCATCTCCCCCCACTCCCCTGCATGTTCACTGGGGGTGGGGGAGATGGTTGTGATCTTTGTTGTTCTTTGTCACTTTGCTTCAAATTTTTGTGAGAAAAAAATAGTTACAGAACAGATTAACCTTATTTACATTGACCCTTATGGGGAAATTTGACTTGGCTCATGACTAATTTGATTCACAACCAGAGTCCTGGAATGGATTAAGCTCGTGAGCCAAGGTACCACTGTATTTGGAATGTGAATGTGACTGTGGATATAATACATATCCATATACATCTATCTATGCATGTATATGCACACACATACTGCTGTTAAACAGTGTTTTCAGAATGTTCCTATTCAAGAGAATTATCTAAAGTAAGCCTCCCCACTGGTGTCTTCCAGATGTGTTGGACTGCAACTCCCATAATTCCCAGTCACCATGACTAACTTCACACGCAGAGGGCACCAGGTCGGGGAAGACAGGTCTAAGCAGTGGCAGGCACATTGCCAACTTGAGCTCAGAGACCTCTGCGGAGAAGGACTGGGATTCCAGAAGTGAGCACAATGCCTGCAGGAGATGCAGGGTGGTCCGAGGAATGGATCACCAGGTGTCCCCAAGAAGCCCTTTGACTCCACACCAAGCCTTGTTCAGTTTCCTCAACTCTCTTCCATCAGAAACATCATCAGGGTAACCACTTAGCCACCAGAAGATCCTATTGTCCAGGATCTTTTCGGAAGGAGAGGAAGGACTCAGCTACAGCCAGTTGTAAAGAGACTCAGTGATGCATGCTCTCAGTTTCCTCCAAGACTTTTGCTGGGTTAGTGGCTTCCTTCGAGCCATTGCCTTCAGCATCTTGCTCCAGTCACTTGTTTGCTTACAGGCTGCAATCCTATTCATACTTGCCTGGGAGTAAGTCCCATTGTCCTCAGTGGGACTTAATTCTGCAGAGTTGTGCCTAGGATTGCACTTCTTTTTGCCTGTTGGGATCCCATTTACATCTTTAAAAAGTGGGGAACTATAACACAGCCTTTCTTCCTCAACAGAGAAACAGTACCCTAATCAGCTCAGCCTCCTGAAAGAAAAATTTCCAGTGATTCACTTGGTGGTCCACTCTGTTCTCTCTAGCTCAGTCATCTCATTCCTTTAACCCTGCCTACAAATCCCATGCTCTTCCCCCACCATCTCCTTCATTGCTCTGTGGACTTAGCCTTCTTCCAAATTCTCAACAGTGCATTGACTTTGTCCCAGTGGGAAGGCACCAAGAGCAAAGCACAATTCCAAAAGGTCACAAGCTGCTGTTCTTTTCTGTTTCCACAAACCAAGCTGCCTTCCAAAGGAACTGGTGGATGCACTGTGAAAGAGAGCCCATGGCAACAACTTGCTTGGCAGGTAGTGGCAGCAGTCACAAGTCTGCTCCATGTATTAGTCTTCAAAAGCTCTGCTATGTCATCCCTCAGCCCCACAGAATTTATGGAATTAATTGCCCAAGCAGCTGGCAAAAGTGAGAACCTTCAGGGGGAGAAAGGCAAGCAACAGCAGCACAACTGGAAATTCTACCACACTGAAACATATAAATTGATTCGAGAGAAACAAGATCTTTGTTGCTAAGGACCATATATGTTGTAACATTCAAGTCAAGAGACTCAGGCATTCATGTAGCAGGGTGTGGAAAAGCAACCCAAGGAATCCAGGTTCATGAACTTTTTGTCTCAGCTGGAACCAAAATGGAACAAGGAACAGATGGAAAAAAGGGGGGTGTAGTTTGTGTGGTATGCACACTTTGCTGGCAGGTGTTAGGAAACTGGGGGGAAATCTCCTGCTCCCAGGGGTACAGTGGAAGCTCATGGCTATGATTTCTTTCCTTCTTATTTATTTTCCTTCAACCAAACAATTCCCAGGATTTCTTTCAGTAAAATACAAACTGGAAAATTATTACACTAAAACCAACTAGCTAGGAACCACAGAATGGTAATTTAGGGGGAGGAAAGGCAGTCATGTACCTTCCTCCTGGAATCCCCTCCCCTAATATCAAATCTAACATTTGTATTCCCCCCCCCCCCGAGCTGCCACCCGCTGTTTGCACCACCTAGCTGGAGGTTCTGAAAAGCTTGAGAGCTTGCACACTGGCATTTTTGTGGATCTTGGATACTGTGTTTAAATGCATTGAATATCAATCAATTAACATATGACATAGTGTAGTCTGTAATAACTTCTCATAATCATAAATCCTGATTCATCAGATAAGAAAACTAATCTGATGGAATGAAAAAGGAATATTTTACTATCTGAACAAATTATGAATCATTGTAACATCTATGAAGACTGGGTCGTAGTCAGATTAATTTAGTCACACTTTGTTCCCACTGAAATCAATGGAAATTAAGTTAGTCTGGATGAATATTGCAATCTTTTATACACATTTTTCTAGGAACAAGCCTTACTATACTCAGTGAAGTTAACTTTTGAGTATATATGCACAGGACTACATGCTAACTTCCCATATTGGTTTCAGTGGGACACAAGAGTGGCTTGGATCCAAACTAGTTATTCTTTGTTTCCTGCCCCCTGGAAATTTCCTGGAAATTGTCTTTCCATGTCAGTCATAGCAATAATTTCTAAATTTGCCTCTAGGCATAAATTAGCATGTAAACATTTTATGCAAAGGGGTGTCCTTGTATGTCCTCTTTTTTGATGATGCTTTTCTTTTGGGGTGTAAACGGCTACCCTCCCCTGTTCACAGCAGTGCAGCCAATGTAACTAGGAGGATATAGGGTCAGTTCTTGTGAGGCATTTCAATAGGCAGAGCTACGGTTTGCATATCCTTCCCCTTCCTAACAAAACAAGTGTTTTTCACCTGCAGCAACCTGTAGATTAGGAATGCAGGTGGCACAGTGGTTTAAACTGCTGTGCTGCTGGGCTGGTTGATTAAAAGGTTGCTGGTTCGAAACTGCATAATGAGATGACCTCCTGTTGCTCCTTTCCAGCTCCAGCCAACCTTGCAGTAGTTCGAAAGCATGCAAATGCAAGTAGATAAAAAGGTACCACTTCGGTGGGAAGGTAACAGCGTTCTGTGCACTTCGGTGTTTAGTCGTGCCGGCCACATGACCACGGAGACTGTCTGCAGACAAACGCTGGCTCTCTCGGCTAGGAAACGGAGATGAGCATTGCCCCTGAGAGTCAGGCATGACTGGATTTTAATGTCATGGGGAAACCTTTACATTTACCTTAACCTGTAGATTAGCTGTTTGGTGCCCTGTGTGAACAATCAAGCAAGCTAGAGATGTCCCCATGAGCCAGGAAAACTGAGGGAAGACTCAGTTACATATCTAGAGCAAGGGTGTTGCCTCTTTCAGCCCAAAGGCCAAATTCCTTTCTGGAGAAGCTGAGAGGGGAAGGCCAAGTGAAAGGGCACAGCCATATGGTGAGCACCAAGCGGGCTGGATTCGGCACTCATGCTTTCAATTCTGCATCCCTGATTTTGAGGAAACCTGCTTCATTCTTTAGCGAAGCAATCAGGAGAATTTGTGAAGCCTCACCTATACTGCCCAAATTGCCTGGCTCACATTCCCTCAGCCCTGTTCACAGGGCATCTAATGACCAATCTGTGGAGAAGCCATTTTAGAATGAAGCTGTTGTGAGTGATGACTCATAGTATAAACTAAAGTCTTTTATTGCTACTTATCTACAAGATTTACAATGCTACGGATAAGTTCTACTGCAATGGTCTTTACAAGGCAGTTGCTAACTCCTTAGTGACCTCTCTCAGGGAACCCATGTGGGACTAGCTTTCTTCATCCCACCTTTCCCCCCGAGGCAGGACAAAGCTTCCTTCTGCTCCAGTCGGTGTAGAGAACGTCTAAGGATCACACGGGACAAATCTACCCCGCCTCTTGTGTCTCCTGTGTCATGTCCAGGTGGTTCAGCATCAGGAGGAAGGGGGGGCAGCCTGCCCAAGCTCTCCATGAGCAGAACTTACAGTGCCTTTTCCCTCGGGGCCCTCATGGTCTGACAGAGGCTCGGCTGTTTGCCCAATGGATAAAGGGTCAGGATGAGGGATGGCTATCTGTTCAGCTATTCCCAAGCCAGGCTGTGGAAGGGACATCTGGCCACAGGTCTCAGGTATAAATCCTCCTGATGTCTGATTCTCTCTTTGGGTGTTTGACTTTTCCCCGTGAGGTGCTGCCTCTGTCAGGCACGACACAAGCTGAGAAACATCTTGAAACAAAACTTCCCATAGTCAGGCATGTGGTGGGGTTGGTCTGTGTGAAAGATTATTAACAGCCTTGGTGTGAACCACACACCCAAGTCACTTCCCTTCCCAGTGCACAAAGCACTTAAATGCTACCGAGAGCCACCAGTTGCCAAAGCACATCACCAGGAGCAGTTTCCATAGCAACCAGGGGGACTTCTCTCAGTCCAACAGAAGTCTAGGTCTGAGCAACAGAGACCAGAGAGAAGCCACCTAGTATGCCTGCATACTGAAGAATATTTAAGGCAGACTCATTGCTCCTTCATATCGCCATCTCATTTTAGAATCATAATCAGGGATGGACATT